TAGTATGCACGGTATTATTTCTATTTTCTTATATTTGCTGAGGCTTGCTTTGTGCCCTAGGATATGATCTATTTTGGAGAAAGTTCCATGGGCTGCGGAAAAGAATGTATATTGTGCTGTTGCAGGATGGAATACTCTGTAATGTTTGTCTGGCCCATTTGATTTATGGTGTTATTCAATGGTAAAGGAAAACCATCTTTTTAAAATGACCTAATTATTTCTCATTTCCATGTAAGCAAGTATTTGTAGTTATTCAGTGCTTCATATGGGAAAACATTCAGAGAAATGCATCATGAGATGGTTTCATTGGGTGAACATCATAGAATGTACTTACACAACCTAGACGATGTTGGTTGATCACTTGATGTGGCTTCTTGATGCAATCAGGAGATGCCAGTGTAACATGCCATTCTGCTTTACTGTACCTTTTGTTTTCTTTAAAGTAGAAATAGTCTCCAATATAAAAGTATAGTTTAGTAAATACATAAGCAACAATGTAGTCATTTATATCATTATCAAGAATCAAGTATTGTATACAGTTATATGTGCTCTACTTCTATGTGACAGCACAGTAGATTTTTTTTCACTAGCATCACCACAAACATGTAAGTTATGTGTTGTGCTATGGCATTCAAGGGCCCCAGTGTCATTAAGTGTTAGGAATTTTTCAACTTCATTTTGATCTTTTTTGTTTTTTTTTTTGTGGTACTAGGGTTTGAATTCAGGACTTAGGCTTGCTAGGCAGGCACTCTACCACTTGACTACTCTGCCAGCCCTAGTTCTAATCTTAAAGAACCACTGGCCTTTGTGCAATCCCTTTTTGACTGAAGTGTTCTTATGTGTGCATCACTGTGTATGTATATTTTTGTGTGTGTGTGCTCCCCTTTCTTAGGTCAGTAGTAGCATCTTAAACACCCACTTTTCTGTGATTTTTTTTCACTTAACAGTGTGTCCACAAGATCACATCATACTAATATAAAGAGATTATTGATGTTTGGCCTCCTCTTGGACAGACATTTATGTTATGTGGTCACTATGAGATCAATTGTGTTTGCTTCCCCCCTCCATTTTCTATATTTCTTTTTGTATTTAGGAAGGCTTATATAGTTACCTTAAATACCTTTATAGTGTAATTAAGTTCATACCTCTATTACTTTATGACAAATTCTTTATTAATTTATAATTAAATTTCTCCTTTGCTTCCCCCTCTCTGTGTGAATATTATTATTTATTATTGAAAATAGCCACTATTTGTTTCTTCTCACACATAATCTTCCCTTTTATCCAGTATCTGATTTAACTTCAGGTTGATTCTTTTTTTCTGTTTTTGAGATAGGGTCTTGCTTTATTGTCTAGGCTACCATTGAACTTAGCCTCACAAGGGCTGAGATTACAGGTGTGTACTGCTGCACATGGCTTGTAAGTTAATTCTTAAGGTGTACCACAACTTTATCCTACTTTTTTTCCTCCCACTTTGGAACTTGCACTTGCCAAGCAAGCACTCTACCACTTGAGCCACACCTCTAGCCTTTTTGGTTTTAGTTTATTTTTCAGATAGAATCTTGTGCTTTTTTCTCAGGGCCAGCCTTGGACTATGATCCTCCAGCCTCTACCTCCTACATATCTGGGTTTATAGGTATGTACCATAATGCCTAGCCCTCTTTATGTCCACCCTTCTTATTCTTTTCTCATCTTGTGGTGGGTGTACTAATCTATGTTAGAGTACTTAATTTCTTATAATATTGACTTATTATCTCTGATTGGTAAAAATGTATATCAAGGTTATGTGTGAGTATCTGTCTCCCCGCTTTTATTTATTTATTTATCTGATTTTTTAGATCTCATTTTCTAACATTCTTCAAGGAGGGATAATGGAAATAATGATCCTTGAGTTTCGGGAATGATCGTAACACTTTGTGACCTTTATCTTTAGAGGTCAATTTGGATGAATACAAAGTTCCTGGGTCACATTTTCTTTAATTAATCTGAAGTGTGTTTTCTGGCATAAAACATTGCTCTTAAAAGTATCATAACAGTATGAGTTTTATACGTTATGTGTTTAAAGACTCCTATTATATACATCTGGTGTCTTCCTTGCCCATCTTCTATATCAACTCTTGAAATACTTACTCGTAATCCTCATATATAGCTCTTCTTGTTTTCTTAATTTCTTTTAGCTTGTTTTGAAATATTAGGTTGCAGCTTCTTTTTTGGCATCCTTATCATCAACGGGTATGGTATTCTTGTCTCCTTTTTTTTTTCCTTATAAAATCCTTAGATGGAACTTGATCATGATTTTCTTCTGTTGCTTTTTAAGATATTAAATAAACTAAGTGAAATAAACAAACTCTTTCCTTGTGCTTCTTGGAAGGAGATGTTAGCCAGGACAGATCTGTGGGTCCTGAGCTCCTTGTTTGTTTTTGCAGAGTGTTGAAAATGTAGCCTCATCCTGAAACCCCTCTGCCTTTGTTTAGACTTTCTTGTTCCTGGTCCTTTATTGTGGCTCTTCTGGGATGTGTCTTTTATTCTCAGCACTTTCTTGGTTTGTGGAGCTTTACCATGGAAGGGAGCTTTCACTTTTAGCCTTAAGTGTATGTAGGGTTCCTGTTTCTCCAGCAGTGGTCTGCCCTCCTATACGTACCCACTGAATTTGGCTGTACATAGCCCTCTCTCATTTTGGTGACATTTCCAGAGAATACATGCTGTTAACCTGGGGGTTCTTCCATTCTAAGGGCCTCCAGAAGCCCTCTTACTTTCCCTTTTTTTCTTACACAGATGCTTGAGACCAGTGTAGCTCTGTCCTTGCCCAGTCTTTATTTATTGGTTTATGGGCATTGTTTGTAATCTGGTTTTTCACATAGATTGTTCAGAGGTCTTTGGTTTTGCTAGTTTAGTGGCTTGATTTTTGTGGGAGAATTTGAGGGGATTTGAAAACTGTACACGGCCATTTTCTCACAATGTCTCAAAGGAGTTATTTTCCCCCTTAAAAACAGTTCCCATGAGTTAGGAGAAAAAGTAAAGGTGTACAGTAACTATTTCAACATGGTAAAGATTGAATACATTTTTAACTGAACTAGAGATCATATGTCTTTCAGCTAACATTGAGACTGCTCGTCTAGGGTCAAGGTGGATGTGGGTCAATATACCTTTCCATGGTACTCACAAGAAACGCCTATTTGGAAGGAGAAACTGGCTCTATTTGGAACAATTTTTTTTATTTATTTATTTATTTATTTTTTTTGGTGATCAGAAATATGTTAATTTTTTAATTTTTTTTTTGTCAATATTACATTCTATTTTTTTTCCTTTTTCTTTTATTATTCATATGTGCATACAAGGCTTGGTTCATTTCTTGGAGCAATTTTACATGAGAAAATTTTAAAAGAAATAAGGTGTAGGTTAGCTAAGAGAAGGTGGGGGATCATGCCATGAACTGTTTTGTTTGTTTCTAGGGGTAGAGCTAGAATCAAAAGTGTAGTCCTCCAGGGAGACAGATTTAGGCTTGAAGTTACAGTAATTTTTAAATAATGAGTGAACTCTAAAAAAGATACTGTTTTCTTGACTGATAACGATTCATCTCTCACAAGGAGGTATTAAAAAAGAAGTACAGTTCACTAGGTTGAATTCACACTTCAGAAAGGTGCCCAGTCCTCATGGCCCTTACATTGAGCTATTAGCTCCAGCTGCCCTGAACTCCTTGGTACTTGAACAGTTGGAGAACTGTATACTGTGTACTTTGGTTGCACACTTGATGTTCATATTCTTGTGTTTTAAAATATAGTACTTAGAAAGACAAAGAGGACAAAGTGCCAGTAACTCAGATCATAATGGTATAGCACTAGGAAACCCTTGTTGGCAGAAACAGTGTGTTCGTCCTTTCTATTTTCCACAAATGTAGTAACACCTTGTACTTTGACGTGTTCAATGTGTACTTTATTGAATTGATCTGGTAGGAAAGACTCTCCATTGATTACAGATCCTATTTAGTAGAATCAGTCTTTCTTTAAAGCTAATAATAGAGGGAACTGAGTTCTGTACTTTAAATCAAATGTATTTTTAAATAATGTCAGCTTAAAATATTTCAAAGATTGAAATGATACAAAGCAAATGTCAATCATTCCGTGGGCTGTGCCCATCCTCTAGGTTCTGATGAATAAGAATGATTTCTTCATTCTCTTGAGTTTTTGGAAAACATTATTAAAGAAAGGAGAAAGATACACCTTTCATGAACTCATCTCCCAAAAAGGAATCAACTAGTTGAAAATAATTGAAGCAAAAATATAAAGTTCCATGTCCTCAGGTGCCTTAACTGTATTGGTGGTTTTATAAAGTTGTTTTTGGAATGTTAGATCATTACATGTTAATCCTAGGGTACCTTTGGGAATCATCTGGTTAGGTTAAGAAGCTCTCTTACCTAAAGAATAGTGATAGGATATGGGGATTTGCGAGCATATTAAAATTACGTGCAACTTTTGCATATTTGTGAATATTTCTGGGGAGTCATTTTCCTTTGATTCTCAAAAATGTCTTAACTCTAAAGAAAAAAGAACAGTGGTTATAACCCATTCCTTTATAATTAGAGAAAAGGAAGCACAAAATGCATGATACTTGAGGGTGCCCTGCTGAATAATGATGAAACCAGAGCTGTTCATACCTGAATGAGGGCTAATAGGCCTTAATATAGGATTTTCTTAGCCAAGTATGGTAGTACACGCCTGTAATCACAGCACTCTGGAGACTGATACAGGAGATCAAAAGTTCAAGGCCAGCTTGGACTATATAGTGACACCGTGTGTCAAAAAAGAAAAGCAAAACAACAGCAAAAAAGATTTTTGTATTTTTTTAAAATCCTTTTAATCATCCCTACGATTAGCTACATTTTTTATAGCTACAAAGAGATAAAATAACTTGCCCCATGTTAACAGTGAGTGAGTGGCAATGCAGGATTAAGATCTAGGTATTCTGATTCCAGAGACTATACCTGTAACACCTATAGTGTACTGCTCCTCCTAGATGATTCTTCAAGCTGTCACACAGCCAGCATACTGCTTCAGGACTATGCAGGGTGGAATTTGTGATGTGAAAATAGTTCTTGTTTGTTGTAAAAGCAATGGGACATTTTAATAAATTTTTATAGAGTTAAACACATTAAAGTATTTTTTTCCTAGCATGCGATGATGCTGCCCGTTTTGACCCATCATATACGCTACCACCAATGCCTGATGCACCTGGACAAGTTGATAGGATATACTTTCCAAGATCGTTGTCTCTTGCAGGTAAGAACTACTCTCCTGTAATACTCGCATAATAAGATAGGGGAAATTCACCGTGTATGTTACAAGTGGTGTAAATGGGCTCTTGTGTGGGATGTGACAGTGATGTTTGGGAACATAACCCTATTGCTGTACCGTGTTTGCCTCTGCTGCTTTCAAACCCTTTCTGTCACATTTATTTGAGGCTGTCCCTTTACGGCTAAAGCTATAATCTGCCTGTCTATGCTGAGCACCTCATTCTGCATTTCCTTCTTTATGGGTCTTCTTTCCAGATGTTGAGTATTCTACAGATTATTTTACAGATTATTCCAGATGTTGATTATTTCTTCTCTGAAATATGTGGATTTTAGGTTTGTTTTCAGAAGAAGTTTTGCAAATTTCTGGAAATTTGATTGTGGAGGAGATAAGATGGAAAGATCAGGGTTTAAAATTTGGACTGGCATGGGCACAGGTGGCTAATGCCTGTAATCCTAACCTCTTGGGATACTGAGATCTGGAGGATTGTGGTTTGAGGCCAGCCTGGGCAAATAGTTCAAGAGACCTCATCTCTAAAAAAACCAGAGCAAAATGGACTGGAGGTGTGGCTCAAGTGGTAAGAGTGTCTGTTTTGCAAGTGTGAAGCCCTAAGTTCAAAGCCCAGTCCCTCAAAAAAATAAAAAAAGATTGGGCAGATAGCTCCCTTTGTCATGTCATTTGAAATGATATAAATGCTTCTGTGCTGAATTTTTGAGACTGAATTTATTTCATTGAAATTTTAGCTGGCCATGACTCATCCCAGTCATCATTTAAATTTTGGAATGAATCCTGATCACGCCAGGAATTCTTTATCTAACTGTGGAATTCGGCAGCCTAAATATGGAGACAGAAAAGTTCATCACATGCACATGAGGAAGAAAGGTTTGTATGGATGACTTTAAGATTCTGCTCTCATATCGTGTCCTGTGGTCCCTAGTGTAAATTATATCAACCCCTCCCCCACAGTAGTTCCCTGGATGAATCTACTCCTCTCATTGTCTAGTGCTTCTTGAATCATACTAAATAACATTCAATTTGGGGAAAGCATTATAATGAAGGTAGGTGAATTTTTTAGAAAAATTTCTTCTATCAAGTTGGTTTGTGTGTGTGTGCGCGCATGGTACTGGGGTTTGAACTCTGGGCCTCCTGCCAGGCAGGTGCTCTACCACAGGGCTGGCCTCAGACTGCAGTCCTATGTGTGGCCTCCCACAGAACTAGGATCACAGGTGTGTACCACCATGCCTTGCTTATTGGTTGAGATGAGGATCTCACTAACTTTTTTGCCTAGGCTGACCTCGAATTACCATCCTCCCAGTCTCTGCCTCATGAATACCTGGGATTATATGCATGCACCACCACCCCACCCCTAGAAAATATTCTTTGTACCTGTCATATGATGTTCTTAAAATACTAGTATTTGCCTTTGTATTTGTGTTTTGTTCCCAAAATAGGCATTAATACCCTAATAAATATTATGTCACGCCTTGGCCAAGACGATCCTACTCCTTCAAGGTAAAGTAGATTTTTTTTAAAAAACAGATTTATTGAGAACTAATTTGTATGTTATGTAATTTACCTATTCAAAGTCTATAATTCAGTTTTTTTGTAGAACGTTCACAAAATTGTGTAACTTTGATTACTTTCTAATCCTATGACATTTTCATCAAAACCTGTATACCTGTTAATAGGCTCCATTTCCCCTTAATTTGTCCAACGCTAGGCAATTACCAGTTTACTTTCAATCTCTGGATTTGCCTGTTCTGACCATTTCATAATATCTTATGATATGTGGTCCTTTGTGGCTGACTTCTTTTACATAACACAGTATTTTCAGGATTTGACTGAAATAAGTATGATCAATTGACAATCTTTTTATTGCCAAATAATATCCCATGATATGCATATACCATTCATCAGTAAATAGGCATTTGGCTTCTTTCTGCTTTCTGGGAATTAATGAATAATGTTGCTTTGAATATTTGTGTATACATTTTGTGTGGACACATGCTATGATATTTCTTGTGCCTTTACCTTAGAATGGAATTTCTGGGTCTTATGGTAAATCTGCTTCATCTTTTAAGGAACTGACAACTGTTTTCCAAAGTGGTTGCACCACCTTACATTCCCAGCAGTAGTCATGTCATTGTTCCAGTTTCTTTACATCTTTGCTAACACTTGTTATTATCTGTTCTTTTTTTTTAGTACTGGGGCTTGAATTCAGGGCTTACACCTTGAGCCACTCCACCAATCCTTTTTTTATGATAGGTTTTTTAGAGATAGGGTCTTGCAAACTATTTGCCTGGGCTGGCTTTGAACTGAGATCCTCCTGATCTTTGCCTCCTTGAGTAGCTAGGATTACAGGTGTGAGCCATCAGCACCTGGCTTACCTGTCCTTTTGATTCCAGCTGTTCTAGTGAGTATGAAGTATTATCTCATGGTAGGTTTGATTTGCATTTCCTGATGGCTCATATCTTATCATGTTCATATTTAGAGAAATATCTATTCAGTTACTTTTTTCATTTTTAATGATGTTACTTTTGTTACTGAGTTAGAATTTTATATATTGTAGACAAAATCTTTTATCAGATGTATTTTTTTTGCAAAAAAATTTTCTTATTCTAAAATGTTTTGCTCTGCTGATAATGTCTTTTGAAACAGAAGTTTTGATAAAGTCCAGTTTATTATTTGTTTTGTTGCATATGGTTTTGGTGTTATATCTAAGAAACCATTGAGTTTTGTAGTTTTATTTCATTCATTCAGGTCTTCGACCCATTTGAGCTAATTTTTATATGTGGTCTGATACAGAGAGGATTCAGCTACATTCTTTGTGTGGATATCCAGTTATCTCAGCACCATTTTTGAAAAGGCTCTTCTTTCCCCACTCAATCTTCTTGATATTTTGTTGAAAATGTGAAGGTTCATTTTTGAACTCTTAGTTCTAGTCCATTAATCTGTATGTCTGTCCTTAATGTCAGTACCGTATCATCTTGATTATTGTAGCTGTGTAGTTAGTTTTGAAAAAGAGTGTGTGTGTTTTCCAACTTTGTTCTTTTTACGGATGGTTCTAGCTATTCTGGGTCCATTACATTTCTGCATGAATTTTTGGATTAGCTTTTTAATTTCTGCTAAGAAGTTACCTGGGATTTTGATAGGATTTGTATTAAATCTGTAGACCAATTTGAGAGCAAATACTATCTTGAAGTTCAATTTTCTGACCCAGGAACATGGAATGTCTTTCCATTGATTTAAGTCTTCTTTAAAAAGTGTAGAAAAATACAATTGATTTTTGTATGTTGATCTTGTATCCTGTAAATTTGATAATCTCCTTTATTACCTCTAATAATTTTTTGTGAGTTCCTGATGATTTTCGGTATGTATGATTTTACCATCTACAAGTACAGATAGTTTTACTTCTTCTTTTAGATCTAGATGCTTTTTAGTTGCTCCAAGTAGGCCTGCCATACTGTATTGAAGTATTAATAGCAAGTCCTTGACTTCTTAATCTTAGGGGGAAAGCATTCAGCCTTTTAGCACTGAGTGTGATGTTAGCTGTGGATTTTTCACAGAAGCCCCTTTAATAGATTGAAGAAGTTCCCTTCCATTCCTAGTTTGCTGAGTATTTTTATCATGAAAGGGTATTGAATTTTTTTACATGCATTTTTCTGGATTGAGATAATCATGTTTTTTTCTTTTAGTCTACTCATAGGGTGTATATCACAATGATTAATTTTAGTGTGTTAAACTAACCTTGCATTCCTGAGATAAATCCCCCGTGATCATGGTGTACAATCTTTTTTATGTGCTGTTGAATTTTTTGTTAGTATTTTGATGGGGATTTTTGTGTCTATGTTTGTAAGAGATTGGTTTATAGATTTTATGTAATGTTTTTGTCCAACTCATAGAATGAGTTGGAAGGAAGCTCTAACAGATTGGCTTTCCTTATTTTATTTCTTGGTTTTTATAACACACTATTCTTTATATGCTGATATTCTCACTTTGTGTGGACACAAGTCTCTGAAACTTCTAGGAAGGAAGTGGGCTGGGTCTGTGTAAACTCATTAGCACCCTTATGTTTGTGTGTGATTATAGCAGGTTGCATTTTGAAAGCCAGTGGAGGAGATGGCTTGAAGTCAGTTTTCTTTTTTAATTGAGAAGTTGAATAGTTATGGCTCTGAGGCTATGACTTACACTGGATTAAAGGTAGATAGAGTAGCATTAGGAGTGACAGAGAATGGAGCCCATTATTTCAGATGATACCAGGTCTTCACAGCTAAGAGAATTGCTAGGGATGACAGCACATCTTACTTTTTTACCATTTCATACAGGTTGAGTATCCCTTATCTGAAATTCATGAGACTAGAACTGTTTCAGATTTTGGACTTTTTTGGATTTTGGAATATTTTCATTATCTTTATGATTTGAGTATCCCCTAATCCAAAAATCTGAATGCTCTAAAATCTAAAACTTTGTAAGCACTGATATGGTGCCTGAAAAGTTTGGGGTTTTAGAACATTATGCATTTTGGATTTTTGGATTGGGGATGTTCAACTTCTGTGCCACTTTTCTTTTTAAATTGGCTCGCCTCAAGTTGCTCTCTTTTGAAGTTAATGTAGACCAAACCATCTTTCTCTTCAATCAAGGAAAAAACAAGCAGGACAGAGCTTTTAAAATTCTCATTTGAAGTTGAACATATGATTCTGTATAGTGTTCTCTGAGATTCAAAGATTGAAGAAGACCTATCTAATATAAAAGGCCCTTATCCTCAGGAACACTTTCACCATGGATTCATTTTACCCTGCTGTGTTGTAGGGTGTCCTGTGTTTTTTTTTTTTTTTTATGTTACCTCAATATATATATATTTTTTATTATTCATATGTGCATACAAGGCTTGGGTCATTTCTCACCCCTGCCCCCACCCCCTCCCTTACCACCCACTCCGCCCCCTCCCTCTCGCCCCCACCCCCTCGCTACCTGGCAGAAACTATTTTGCCCTTATCTCTAATTTTGTTGAAGAGAGAGTATAGGCAATAATAGGAAGGACCAAGTGTTCCTGGTTGAGATAAGGATAGCTATACAGGGCATTGACTCACATTGATTTCCTGTGCATGTGTGTTACCTTCTAGGTTAATTCTTTTTG